ACCTGCAGTGACCACCGAGAAGAATTACACCTGTATTCTTACTTCTCACCGGCCACTAGTGGTTTCTCCGACGTCCTTGTTGGCAACTGAACCTCCTGCTACTGTTACCAATCCCCCATTGATATCTAACTCCTCCCCAGAGAACAACAAACAAAACAGAGTTCCTGTAAGGACTTGAGTTCTGCTATCTCCAGGCTCGGCTGCTTTCTTGGTTGGTTTACAGCCCCACCTGGGATATCCAGCTCCTCTCCAAAGGACCTCACCCCCACAAGAACCAACAAAAGTTGCCCCTCTAGTACCATATAGATTGTGCAACACCCCTTATTGAACCAGCCACCTCTCTGCCTCCTGCACCTGACTCTCCTACTGAGTTTGTCTGACTCCAAAGGATTGAGCCCCAGACAGAACTGCAGCGTGGTGTGGCTCAGATATCAAACCACCCTGACCCTATTACTCTCTACTGATTGTTGAGTGACTCTCCAGTGACTTTCCACAGTTCCACCTGAATCGAGTACCTCTACAAATCTTGCTTGACTCTCTTTTGCATTTTGCATCCCTACAAAGATTGAGTACCAGCTTTTGAGACAACACAGTTCATCCAGTAACACAGCCTCATCAACCAACAACACCCTTGATCCCCCACCACTGCCTCTACTGGCTATAGCTGACTTCTCCAGTTTTCCCTGAAAGAACCCTATCAGCCTTTGGCTTTGATCCCTTCCTTTTTCAGTTTGTGGTTAACTGTACTAGATTGGGACCCACCTCTGAACCATGGCCATCCCACCCAACGCTTTGATCCAACCCTGTTGCCAGTGCCCCAGAGCATTGTCCTCTTGAATAGATTCCTTTGAATCAATCCTCCTCACCACCTCACAAGCACTCCCTGTGCTTGATTTGCAGCACGACCCAACAGTCAACATCACAGGAGACTAACCCTCCACACCACATCATGCCTCCCATAGCAAACACACCCTACCCAACTCCCTCCACCACCATACCATCTACAGCCCAAAACCTCCCCTCCAACATTCACCCCACAACCCCTCTTACAGTCCACACCGCCCCAGCAGACACTGTGCCCTCCCCTTTGGGAGCCACTGTCTGCCAGTGCGTCATTGGCCTATCGCATGGCTCTTTGTCGGCTTCTGCCTGACATTGTTCGCCCACTGGATAGGTCATACCCTGACATGTCCATTTAGGTGCGCCACCGCTCATGGACTCTGCTGGCATCTTGCCTGCCGACAAGGCAATGACCACAGCATGGGACCTGAACATCAGAGCACCTGTGGTGGAGTGATCGATGATGACTGTTGTCGATCAGCCCCTTCTAATAGGTTAAACCTGCTAGCCACCGCGCTCCAGGTCATGATGGAAGATTGCACACTTCCGTTGTAAGTAGAGCTGTGGGACCTGCCCCTTGTTCTTGGGGCGGAGGTGAACGGTGTGAGACTATAGGATAGTGTAGCGTGCTACTATGATGGCATTCCTCCTTCAGTTTTGATGCTTGGTGTGCACCGTGAATCTTCCTATCGTCAATTCATCAATGTATACGACTCAGCTTTTGGGCCCTCGGGCTCATACTGACCAGCGTAGAAAAAGGTCCTCCGGACCCAATAGGTTGTTAACCTAAATAAGAATTAACCCCCTAGGGGCCGTATGAAGGAAGAAGCTTCCCCAGCTGGAAGAAGAGGATTCCATCCTCTGGAAAACAACAGCAGACATCCAACACTTCTTGACATCCAACAAGAAGAGACAGCTCACGTTCCATTCATGGACAACAAGCTGACTCCAGATAGCTACCAAGCATTCACAGACTCATGCTCACCTTATTTCCAAATCCAGTATCAAGCCTGAATGGATTGATGTTTCCACAATCATTGGCGATTGAGACATGGCATATCGATGTCCAGTTCAGTCTACACCGCCAGTCAGAGCACAGTTGAGTCTACAAGAATGCAGCCGGAACTTCCTAGTTTCAGCTACAGCAATACCAAGTGACCGAACTTCCCAGTCCACGGTCAACAAGTGATCGGAACTTCCCAGTTTCGATTACAGCAACATCAAGTGACGGCACAACCGCCACAGCAAGTCATACAGAGTGGCAACACTCACAGGAGTGGTAGCCACAGTGGCTTTCATGACGACACTGTTCACATGTCCACATTGACTGTGACAGATTTGTCAACACTGCTATGGATGACAAGCTTCTCGCCACCAAGCGGAATTCCGAGCAACCTAGCAATGGTTCTCTCGACCAACAACTGTTCCTTATGGAGCAACCATCATTACATTAATTATTCGTTCCACGGTATCCTTTATGGAACGTGCAGGGAGTGTGTTGGAGGTTGTTTACGACACCTCAATACAAATTATCGTTTTATCCCAATCTAGTTATAGGGGATATCTATATCTATTCTCTAGTTACATACATGGGAGTTTAACTACTATATGGTCACCCCTTCACTATATCTTTGAAGTTGAATCAATCCCAGAAACATGGAGAAAGATCACTCTTGGAAATAGCTTAACAGTAAACAGTATTTTACCTTTACTAAGCTAGAGTGTTACTAGCAACCAACACTCAAGGCAACATAAGGGTCCTTCACCATCCCATTCTTCAATCTCGCAAAGATTGAACGCCTTTCAAATCTCCCATCAGACAAGGTTGTCTACATCATCTTTGCAGTTCTGGACGATGATACTGGCAACCGCTACCTTCAGGATTCATCAAGATGTCCCGCCGCTACCGCGACACAGCTCTAGTGCCGACAGTGTAGCCAACATATTGACAGAAATCCGGGTAAACGTGAAGTGGGAATTCGGTGATGCCCACAGAGCAAACCTTCAAGGCAAACGAAGCGACCTAATTGCATTAAAAAACGCCGACATTGGAACTTTCACAATAGATCAACTGAAAACCCTACGTCCTAAAGTCTGTGTAAAATACATAGACCTCCTACTAAAATACTTCAAGGCAACCCAGAAGAACCCAAAAATTGACAAAGAAACACAAGAAATGAAAATCAGCCCGAGCCCTTAAGAAGGCAAACCTATTTGAAAATGAAAGCCAAGGACCTCCCTAAATTCTACTGATATTGTCGCACAGGTAGGAAGAACTTCCGCAAGCAACATGCCAAAAGTAGAGGCGACAAGAGCAACTATTAATTTATAATTTAAATCCAAACGTTACTTTAAACGTCATCTCTACCAATAAGATTCACATTTGCACCATCCTTTTCCTCATACTCAAGGATACTATATCCGTAGTTCGGAATGAAATACCTCTCACTAACAACTATACCTATCCCGTTATTCCAATCGATGTCACTGCAACCCGCTGCATGATGCCCAGTGCAAGACAGGGCTCTTAGCCTTATTCGCGACTCGATCCTAGATAGGGTTTGAGTTCGACTCGTGACGTAGTCCCTCGCGAATAGTCATCGAGACATGGTTCTCATGACTGCTAGTCATACTAGGTTGTCGATGAAACATCACGCTAGATATTCAGCCTGCGTGGAAAGCTTCCACGCTGTCTACTAGCTGAAGTTTCCACGTGTTCCAGAATTGGACCGTGGAGTACGTAGAGTTATTACCATAACCTACGATATCACACTTCGAGGCCTCCCACGGGAGACCAACTTCAATGAGCTTCACAACGATCTCTCTCATGGATTAGTTTTCGTAGCTTTCTAATCTCTCTCATAACTTTCATTCTCTCAAACTCAAAACACTCGAAAGCTCTTTACACCAGCTTTTAGCGTAGTGCATTTTGTTAACAAACACAATAGCTTTCAGCTACCCTCAACCTATTCCTTCACCATGAAGATTGCTCAAGGAAAGCATGCGTTCAGCAACTTCGAGAAACAGTTGCGTGACAAACCCATTTTTCCTCTCGTCGACAATGATGAAGACAACGAGATCGACGATTCTCGTGCCACCACCTACAAACTTCGCACTATTCCTGCAGATGCAAACAGTGCCAAGTACACCTTCAAGGTAGCCATCATCAATGGCTCCAACACTCCACGTGAGACCATCAAGTGGGCCACGAATATGGAGAAGGTCTTCGTTGGACTCAACCTTGCTAGTCCCGACGACAAACATCGTCTTCTCAAGGAGATGACTTCCAGCTCTGCAAAGAGTGCCTACGAGGCTGGATGTGCAGGCAGTTGTGCCGTGCGTCACAACGCCCCTCGACAAATCGCTGTGTCGCGAGAAGCACCACGCGATCCAGTCGCAGAAACCGAAGCAGCATACGCTGCTTGTATTCAAGCCGCATGGGACGGTGCAGCAGAGCCCGCGCTGAGCGATGCTGACATCACCACTGGAATCAATGCGGTTATCGAACAAGCCTGTCCTTACGAGGCTCTCGAAAAACAGAAACGCTTCATGCGTCGCAAGATGCGCAAGCCCAGCGAGATATAAAAAAGCGCCTACATTAACAACCTCACTCGGATGAACACCGATGAACTCCCTCGTTTGCCATCTTTCGGTGCCAATCAACAATTGAACCAGGACGAATTCATTGACATCATCTGTCATGGCATTCCTCGTTCCTGGATGCGCAAGATGGACGAACCCGACTTCGATCCTTTCACTGCCAAGATGCAGGCTCTCATTGGATTCTGTGAGCGCATGGAATCCGCTGAAGACTTTGACAAGGGCAGTGATGCCAAGGAAGCTCCTTCGAAGAAGAGCAATAGCAAGAAGTACAAGTCTAGCCGCAACAACAACCACTCCTCCAAGAGCGAAGGAAAGTGGTGTGACTACCACAGTTATCATACTGGAAGGTTGGAGGAAAATCTGGAAATTGGCACCCCCAGAATGATGGAGCCATGCCATGGCACTGTAGGCCTGCATTGCTTCTGACATATGTCTTGTTATCACATGTTCCAACCATACCAATGCAACTATCATATTTGCTTCAGGCCAAAAACAGTGCTAAAGTAGCTGGGCAAGACATAAACTAGCTGGGCAAGGCAATCATACGTAGGTTCAGATAGTGTTCAGATGATGTCACCTCACAACAGATTGCTCAAGAGTCAACTGTTGGGTCTTATACCCTCCAAGACTTCCAGATGAATGTTGCCATGCCTGAAGCTGGGTTTCTACTCGATGCTGTACTAGTATCAGCAGAGAACTGATCTGCAGCCAGCTAACTCACCAATGAGAATATTACCGGGGATGTGACAAAACTCTATCTGGGTGTGAGCAGCCCTGCAACTGTTCTAGATTTAGTTTTTCCCTCTACACCCCTGCAAATGGCTTGTGGGTACAGCCTCCTTATAGCTGAGAGGCTGGCTGATAGACAATTAAAATGCAAGTGGGCAGAGACCTACAATATGAATTAGTGATGGGATAGGCGGACCACCAGGTGCACCATCTACATTCAATGGCCTGCCATGCTACTGCCCAGCTAGCTAGTTGTGTTAGTTGGACTTCTTATCCATTGCCATCATTGCCGAGAGCCGCTCCACGAGTGGTGGATGCGAGTAATGGTATGTGGAGTACCATCCATCAGGTCGCATGGCCCCCAGGTTTTCGAGATGAATCTTAGTCAAGCCTGAAATGAGGTTCTTACTCATCCCAAGATCAGCTGAGAAACGATCTGCAGCAAACTCATTCATGCGTGAGAATATTGTCAGGACAAATGACAAAACTTTGTCAACAGGGGCCCAGAGAGTCTGAAAGAACAAAAGCAATGCGATGATGGTTGGTACAGCTCTGTCTGGATCGTCAAATCCAAATGCAGCATATAGATTCCGTGAGGTGTAGCACAAAGAAAAGAAGTAGAAAGCAGCACCAAAATAGATTTGTGTCACAACAAAGTTTGAGAGTGTGTGTCCAAGCTTCCAGTGTCCCAGTTCTATAACCACAAGAGAGCGCAGAATGTTAACCAGTCATGAGCATCCATGAGGCTACCAAACCAATACCGCATGCACGAATGCACCAGATCACCTACCGTGTCCCAGAATGGCAAGGATTTCATCATCGTGGACCTGAGTCATCAGTGTATCGAAGAGCACGATGCGCTTGTTGCTTCCCAACCCATACATGAAAGCATTGCTGTGGGATGACCGTTTGGATCCGTCCATGACAAATAGCTTGGTCAATGGATACTTGAGAGAAGCAGCCAACTCAAAGATTCGTTTTTTGAGTTCTCCATCGGGAAGTGGTTCGTATTTGTTGAAGAGCGGCATGATGAAGACGGGTACAATACTCATCATGAACACCGAAAAGCAGAACATGAAGAACCACACGTAAAGGTAGAAGTACTCCCCTCCAATTTTGATAATATGCAAGAGCAAGGCCAAGAATGGTCCACCGATGACAAATGTGAGAACCAACGATTTGATTTTGTCGGTAAAGAATAGTCCCAGTGTTTGTTTGTTGAATCCGTGCTTTCGTTCGATTTCAAATGTGGAGTACAGTTCGAAAGGAAGCGAAGTGATTGTGCCAATGATTGTTGTCAGACAGAGGAATATGAGGGACATTTTGATTTCATTGTCAGTTTCGGTCCAACCAAAGAAATGGTGTCCAAAATCGACCGAGTAGTCCCAGATGAAGGGAAGAAATCCAAGTGCCAAAAAGAGGACCGATTCAACCACATCGTACGACGCCGCAATCATGCCAAAATTGATTTTGTCCAACCCATAGGTTTGTGCGCTCTTAAATTTTTCCTTCAACTGGGGCAAAAGAGGTTTCTGCAAATCCGGAGCGCCCGATTTGGTAGCAGCGTCCTTGTTGGCATCCGTGGTGGCCGTGGAATCCTCGGATTCTTCAGTCTTTTCCGAGGGCTTTTTCGTGGTAACTTCCTTGTCACGATCATCATCGATTTGCTTCACCGTGGTCTCCAGCTCTGGAGGAAATTCGGTCTCTTTGTAGGCACTTCTCTGTCTTGCGTCGAGATAGGCCTCGAACGTGTGGACCACAAGGGTAAACACAATCGCACCTGCTAGACCCCAATAATAGAATGGGGAATCAGCGGGGACATTGGTCTCACCACCACTTTGGGTATACAGAGGTTCCCAGGGGAGATCCAAGTTTACCATGCTGAGAGTGTTGGCTATGAAAAGCTTTAGAAAACAACAAACAACGACAATCCACAGGAGGAGAATTGAGACGAGAGGTTATTTGTGAGGTGAGGAGCGACTTTTGACCGTTGCACCATTGGTTTGGTCAATCCTGTTTACTCGGGACTGGCCTGCCTCCCTTTGGACTCTGACTCGACTCGATCCTTGGATCCTGGATCCACGATCCACGTCCACCGTCGCCATGCGCTGTGTCCAGTGTCCAGCAGCATCTCACACGCCCATCCTATGCATCCACCCCACACATTAGCACCTCACCATGGCAAGCCAAGCGCAACAGCAAGAGCGACTTCACTTTGTGGTAGTCGTTCTGGGTGATCTTGGCAGGTCACCAAGGATGCAATATCACGTGCTGTCTTTGCTGGGTCTTGGAGAGCATGTTCGTGTTTCTTTTGTCGGATACACGGGAGAAGATCTTGTGGAGGGTCTTCAAGGCCAAGACAGGTTGGATGTTATTCGATTTCACATACCAGCTCCTGCCATGCTGGAAAAGATCAAGCCTCTCTACCTCATTTGGAGAATATTGTCACTGTCGGTCTGTCTGCTGTGGCTGTTGCTCTTTTCTGTCAAATCAGATCCACAAGTCACCTGCATTTTGGTGCAAAACCCACCGGCAATTCCACTGCTCTTCATCGCACTCTTGTACACCCGAATCAAGGCCATAACACAACAACAACGGCCAGATTTTGTCATTGACTGGCATAACCTAGGATACTCCATGTTGAATGGACGTACTTTTCGAAAAATTGCCGAAGCTTTCGAGTTTGAAATTGCCCCATTGGCGGATGGACATCTTACTGTCACGGCTGCCATGAAAGATTTCTTGATGGATAGAAAGGTTGTCAAGCAGGACAATATCATCTCGGTACTCTATGATTGTCCGCCTGCCATGTTTGCTCCATTGCAGCTTATTCAGCAGCATGAGACGCTCCAAAAACTACACAATGCCCTGAGTCAATCGATTCCAAAATCCTGGAATCTCCATTCTCTCGACACATCCAAAGAAACTATCCTCACCAGCAAACTACACAATGGCAATTTTGAACCCAGGAAAGGCAGACCGGCATTTGTCACCAGCTCTACTTCCTGGACGCCAGATGAAGACTTTGGCGTTCTGTTGGATGCGCTGGTGACCCTGGATACTACTATTCAGGAAAACGAATCAACCCTCAAAGTGTTGGTCGCTGTCACGGGGAAAGGTCCTTTGAAGAGCTACTACGAGGAAAAGATGTCAAAGTTGAAACTGACGTCCGTAGCCATACAAACAGTCTGGCTGGAACCAAATGACTATCCAAGGCTGCTGGCATGTGCCGATTTAGGGATATCGCTCCACACGTCGACATCTGGTCTCGACCTCCCGATGAAGATTCTAGATCTTGCCGGATGCCAAGTACCTGTATGCGCATTAGACTTTGCATGTCTCTCCGAACTAGTCCAGGACAAACATAATGGAAGGACATTCAAGAACGCTTCAGAGCTTTCGGATCAACTCTGGTCCTTGCTTTCTCCACTGGCCGAGATGACCAACGCCAGCAGCCACGCTTACGGAGACTTGGCTGGATATTCTGACAATCTCAAGGGCCGCACTAGATGGCAAGAGAATTGGTCTCGCAATGCTTTGCCAGTTCTAATGAAGCAGGGATCTAGTAGCTAGGATGCGACCAGCTAGCTAGTCTTAGGTGGATAAAACAACAGTTTGCTAAGGTATTTTGCGTCTGTCGAAGGTCTGTGATCAACAGGTACCTTTTGGAGCCAAGGCTCAGAAAGTCCGCGCGAGACTTCAGGCTGCACTTCGCGTGCTACTTCAATACTCCCAGGAAAGCTTCTATAAACATGTAGGTTGTTGCTTTCTGGTATTCCTAAAGAGACCACGCCTAGTCGGCTTTTTTGCTTGGACGGGTCAGCGTGGTGACCTCCACACCATTGGCACGGTCACGGTCTCTCCTTGCCCTTCCCATCAACCATGCCGCAGTTCCTCGCTTGCGGCCCCAAACCAAACCAGTCGAGGCCATCAAATCAATGATAAGCTTTGATGGATTGAACTGAGATGAAACACCAAATTCAGATGCAGCGTAGTCAAAAGGGTATTTGTGGTGCCAGTTGTGCCATCCTTCTCCAATGGCGCACCAGGACACAAAGGGGTTCTCACTGGGATACGATTGGACATCGTAGGGATGGTCACCATACAGGTGAGCGGCAGAGTTGACCAACCAAGTAAAGTGAAGGACCACACAGTATCGAAGAGCACCAGCCACAAAGAATGCGTTCCAGAAGTCTTCTCCCCAGAAGTGAGCTGCCACTTGTGCTGGCATTACGTAGCACATATAAAGAGCAAACCAAGGGTCAAGTTTTTTCTGAATAACAACACACCAATCTTCCATCAAGTCAGAAAAGTCCATCTCTCTTCCGGCTTTGACGACATCGGGATGTTTCTTCACAAACAACCATCCCATGTGAGCAAAGAAGAAGCCTCTGGTAGCGTTGTGAGGATCGGCATCGGTCTGTGCATGGTGTTGATAAGTACATGTACATGCAAAATGTGAGCAAAAGCATCTCCAGTGCAGCTAAACCACCGAATTCAATCCAGCGCAGTGCAACGATGTACCTACCTCACTGAACTTGTGATGAACACGATGGTCTCGAGACCAATGGAAAAGGCTTCCTTGGTTCGCCATGGAGTTACAGAGCATCAGAAAGAATCTGACAGGGAAAGATGCTTCATAAGATCGATGGGACCACAGTCTGTGAGCTCCCACAGTAATACCAATTCCGCTGATGGGCCAGCACAGGAAAGCCCACATCAGTGTCTCTGAAGAGCACTTGAACATTGTGGGGATTCCGATGAACGCCAGGATGTGAACCAAACTGATATAGATCCCCATCGGCCAGTTCACATTTCCCTCTTTGTAGTGGTAAGAGATTGTTGACAAAAATTCGCCCAACATCTTGATTAGACTATTGCAATTTATTTTATGACACAACGATTTGAGATAATGAGGGTAGATTGATCAGGCGTGTATGTTCACCTCGAAGAAAATATATATGATCTTGTTGCTCACAGCAACAAGAAAGAAAACATCGTGTGAAAGCAGCCACATGCCACCCGCCACATCGCCTAATCGGGCAATGCGGACCAGCAGCTTGGCTTGGCTGGTATGTACTCCCACGAGAGAAATGTACGTGGCGGCATGCGTTGCCGTGTGGATGACGATACAGGACAGCAGCAGTGAGTGTTTATTATCACCTCTGTTGACAAGCGTGGCCGCCGCGACCTTGTCATCACATCATCGTGTCTTCTTCTCAGGACGCACAGTTTTTCATTGAGATAGCTTTGTTAGCGTTAGAGCTACTAAAATGGGTGCACATTTGGTCCATCAAGAGGTTTCAGAAGTGCGCACATGTGCTCCCGTTGAACCCAAAATCGAGAGGTCCACAAAACGGAAGGTTTCTACCGGTACCACCTCAGTGATGAGATATCATACGATTTTTGCAAAAAGTGAGTTTACTCACAAACTGCCGAATGATGAGATATCCTATTGTCGCTGCTGGTACCAGAACATACATGTACAAAACAAATCAATCCAGTATGATACCAACTGTCGCAATGGCCGTTGCAATACCCTTCATACTCTCACCATAGAGATCACCAAATAAATATCTTTGCTTCATTGGGTTTATCATTTTCAAGACGTATGGTGCGCCTGCTTGACTAGAAGAATTGAATCTTCAATTATTGTGGAACACAATCTCGTCTCATGATCTTAATTAAAAGTGCTAATAAGGTTGACTATACCACGCTGAAAAGCCGTGGGATAATTTTCATCTCGCTTCTCCCACAGTCCATGTCCTCACCCCATGATGCCCAATCCAAGTACAGGTAGACCACATGATGTTTGCAGAGACAGCGACTCATCATTGCTTTTCATTATTGTGATATCTTAATAGTAAAGTAGTAGTCTATTGGTACGGTTCAACCAATCATAAACCCAGAAAAACTGTCGTCAGTGGTCGATGATGCGACGGAAGGTGAAAGACAGCTGTCCATCAACTCATCAAATCGATGTCTGATGCAAAAGCATTCTGTTTTGCATGCCACTGCCATTTGGCGCTTTTCCAAAGACACGCCGCATCATCATCATCTTTCCCAATCCATCATTATTTCAAAAGTGATTGCCACCATCAGCTATCTTCCATCAACAAAAAAAATCCTGGTTTTTTCAAGCAAGATGCTCGGTTTCTCCAATACCATCAACTCAGCCCTTGTGTTGGTAGCTTTTTTGTTGCCTGATGCTTCAGGCTTTGTCCCTCGAATATCCAGGGTAGCTCCACCCTTGGTGGCATCCAGCCCCGGTTCATTTTCCAATGGAAAAATCTTCTCCCCCCTTCATCTGCCCCCGAAGACCAACTCAGCATCAGGAGGTACACATCGAGAATCTACTGTGGATTCGGAAGGAGGTGACAAAAAGGGTTTTCTTGACAAAATCAAGTCGATTGTTCCACCTAAGAATGAAAGGAAAAAGCTGCTGCCACTTGGATTGATGTTCTTCTGCATTCTATTCAACTACACAATTTTGCGTGATACCAAAGATGTGCTCATGATCACAGCCTACAAAAGCGGTGCGGAAGTTATTCCCTTTATCAAAACATATTGCAATCTGCCAGCTGCGATTGTAAGTTGATTAGGTAGACGCGTTCGCTGCGGTGCATTTTGACAATAATAAGTTTCCTCACACTTGTATCATTTCACTCAAACCCCACAAACAATTTCTCTTGCCATTTGTAGGGCTTTACTGGCCTTTATGCTTCTATGTGCGATAACATGGAGCTCAAGAACGTCTTTTATGCACTGGTTATCCCATTCTTGATCTTCTTTGCGAGCTTTGCACTCTTCATGTACCCTGCAAGATCCATCATTCATCCTCATGGACTTGTGGATATCCTGGCAAATCAGCTTCCGGCAGGTTTTTCTGCGCCTTTGGCCATTGTCCGAAACTGGTCCTTTGCATTGTTCTACGTTATGGCAGGTAGGAATGTGCCTGTCACTTCCATCACAACTGCATCACGATGGCTTACTTCGCTCACAAATTGCTTTTCCTGAATGGCAGAGATGTGGGGCAGTGTTGTGACTTCACTGCTTTTCTGGGGGTTTGCCAATGAAGTTACTACCGTTGAGGAGGCGAAGAAGTATTGTAAGTTGATGCCACAAAGCTGATGTTTCAGACAGGTGGGGATTCCTTTGTTTGGTGGGTATCTGTGCAATCTGCTCACTTGATGGGTTGCCTTCCACGCACATCCTTGTAGACCCGCTGTTTGGGATGGGAGCCAATGTGGCCTTGATCTTTTCGGGACAGTACGTGAAGTGGGTATCGAAAATGAGGGGGACCCTGGCTCCTGGTGTAGATGCTTGGGCAGTCAGCCTAAGATTCTTGATGGCTGCTGTGGTTGGAAGTGGGGGCGTCCTTCTTGCAGCATACAAGTACATGCAAGACAATATCGTATCAAAAATGGATTCCGTCAAAGAGGCCAAGAAGTTCCCACGCAAGAAGAAGGCGCGGATGACAATGAAGGAGTCAGCCAAGTTTCTCATGAGTTCACCGTACATTCGTGACTTGGCGACGCTTGTCATCTCGTATGGTCTCTGCATCAACATTGTGGAGGTCAGCTGGAAGTCCAAACTCAAGGTGCGTAGCAATTTGGCCAAGACATAGGGTTTGACTTGGCTGCTAACAATTCTCTGTTTCGTGCCCACAGCAAGCATTCCCAAATCCCAACGAGTACTCAGCCTTCATGGGAAACTTTTCATCGGCTACTGGGACCGTTACCCTTGTGATGATGCTTCTTGGTAGGACCATATTCCAGAAGTTCGGATGGAAATTTGCCGCTATGGTAACCCCAACGGTAGGTTGAAGAAGTCTCTATTCGTTTCATGTTCTATGGTCAATCCTACTTGCTCATCGGTTACTCCTGACCACTTCCTCTTGGAATAGATGATTGGCGTCACGGGCATTGCATTCTTCGGTTTAACACTTCTGCCACAGACAGTTCAACCGCTTGCAGCACTCTTTGGGACAACACCCTTGATGCTTGCAGTTCTTATTGGCGCTGCTCAAAACATTCTCAGTAAGAGCGCCAAATATTCCTTGTTCGACCCTTGCAAGGAAATGGCATACATCCCACTGGACCAAGAGTCTAAGACTAAGGGGAAGGCAGCCATTGACGTGGTCGGCAATCCACTAGGCAAAAGTGGAGGCGCCATGATCCAGCAGGTCCTCATCTTTGCAGTTGGCAGCCTTGCTGCCTCTACACCAGTAAGTTCTGGCTCTCTTCTTGAGATATTATGGTGATGTTTGCAAAAGTTCCCAATGCTTGGCTAATCCTCCGTACCCTTTCATTTTCTCAGTATCTAGCCGCGATCCTTTTTGCGATGGTGTTCATGTGGTATAGAGCAGTCGGATCCTTGTCTGGACAGTTTGAAGAGGCCATGAAGCAAACCGAATCTCAGGGCTAGGCGCTCATTGACAACTGCACTTACTAGCCATATTTTGAAAGGCTAGTCTAGCCTTCACGTGCGATCGGGTGTTTTGTTACTGGCAAATAAGAATTCATAATTGAGAGAAACAATGATGTCTTTCGTTCCATACATGCAGTTCGTTTCTACCTGTTGTAGACCTCGTTGCAGCCCCTGGCTACCGGTAGCAGGCCGGGTGCCTTCAATCGCAGGGCCCGAAAACTGAAGTCTCGGACCTTGTGCTTATTAGGCCTACAGATTGCTAGCTGGTGTTCCCGATCGCTGTTCCACGAGAATGACAGATTCAATCTAACAACACTACAAGTCAGCTGAGACTGACACAAATCATTCGGGAAAACCGCTAGTAGACCGTGGAGTTCGCCATGGATCTATGACTTTCCAAATGGAATTGCGCAACCATAGCATAGTATTTTGCTTGTAATGAATTACTAGTATTCACAATAGCCAGCCACAGTCTCAGCTCTTAAAGAGCAGAGTCCAATTTATGGCTGCTTCTTCCATTCTTCGTCGTCGAAGACGGGATGGGCAAGAATATTCTTGATCAACGATGTTCCCCTCAAAGCACTTGTAAGAGGAAGGTGCCCTTCAGGTGCCTTCTTCACGTCGTAGATGAACTCGGAAGCACCAAACCAACGCTTCTTTCTCTCAACTTCACCTTCTTTGGTAGTCCATCCGATCTTTCTACAGAAGGCCTCGAAGTCGCCCTTGGATTGTCGATATTTTCTCTGTACAAGCAGCAACATGTTCATCAGATTTTCCTCTCCAAACAGCTTCAAAGCTCTCAGCTGCTGCTCAACTTCACACATCATCCTACCTTTTGAACAGAGTATCCAAATTTGCCCCCAGAAAATTCACTCCAGAGCCTTTCGATAGTTGCCAAGTCAGTGCCAGGGATTCGCTTGACATCTGTGAAATATACAAAATTTCTTCCCTTGTCTTTGGCTCCAGACAACTCAATCAAGGCATCCCTGGTGAACTGGTAACACATAAACGAAACAAGTGAATGGAAAGAAAAACGAAGCCTTGGTTGAGGGAATGCGGTATACTTCAAGTAGGGAATGATTTCCCAGGTAACACAAGCCGTACCTGATCAGCCTCAGCAAGTTGCCCAGTGGCCAACATGGTTGCCAAAGGAACGTAGTCGATTCCCTTTTCAGATGGAAGGTTGGTGGGAATGGCAACATCTGCAACCTCAGAAGCGTCGCTCACAGCAGGTGGGGCATCCGACAGTGCAACCTGAGTGCGTGATTCTCCTGCTGGGACAACTCCAAATCCTTGAACGGAAGCGCAAAGCAAAGCAAAAAATGCCAAAGTAACTGTTGAGGGAGCTCTCATCATCTTGATAATCTAAAGGTGTCTTCTTGCAATACCAGCTACAAACAATGCGTTGCCTTCGTTCAACTTGAGAGACAGCAAAGAAAATCGAGTTTTTTCTCGTTTCCCTCCGCGTGGCGCTAGAAGTTGAAGTTGAGTTGATTGATCATTCTTCACCTGGGCTGACGTCAATCGGAAATTTACATCGTGTTGGTGCGAAAGAAACGGATACTAAGCCTGTGAGTACCACACCGTGGGACAGTTTTCGCAAAATTCGGACTTTCGTGAATTTGCATGGGCAAAACACTTTTATTTTCGTCGTTTTACTACGAAAATTTTCATTCAGTATAGTGAAAAGAAAACATGCCCCGCAGGGGCAAGATAGTTAAAAGAAGAGAAGAGGAGGAGGGGAGGAGGAGGGGGTTCTTAGCTAGAGGCAATGCCCTTCTGGCTTATTGGCAAAGTACTAGTATCTTCTGAGCTCTGCTTTTCTCCTGGGAAGCGTGCTATGAAGAGAGCCCCCTATGAGTCTTAGCCAGGCACCAGCATTCCTAAAGCTTTTTCAAACACCTCAGGCAGAAATAGCACCATTCTTTTTTAACAAGGAAATTCAAACTCTGTCATTTTGTTGTGTGTTCATTTCGCATTCGTTCGTCCAAATATTGTTAATTGTTGACTAGCACCGGTTTCATTAGCTACACTTCATAGCTCTGATTGTTGGATTCGTACTGTTGTTGGATCCATATTGTTGTTGGATCCATAGCATGATGATAATGAGCGAAGTGCTGGTTGAGATGAAGCTTCAATTCCCATTCACAGATTTTGCCATTCCAATGGAAAATTCCAGCTGAGTTCTTCGTGGAGGCTCCTTCTTCGCTGCGACATGCGACAAGCTCTTCTTTACGCTTCATAGCTCCGATTTTTAGATCCGTAGCATGATGTATTTCGGCAATTTTTTCGTTGGTGGCTGCCAGAGTCGCTCCACGTTCCGAAGCTTGAGCTACTGCGCCGCTTGCAGGACGTTCGCGACGAAGCTTGAGCTACCGCGCCGCTTGCAGGATGGCTGTGTTGATACAGAGGATGCGTCTAGGTTTATTGAATAGTAGTAGTAGTGGTAGTGGTAGTGGTAGTGGTAGTAGTAGTGGTAAACAGCGTAGTTGGGCTCACTAACAGGGCTGGAGGCCATTGTGATGCTTCCATAGTGGAGTCAATTGTTGTTGTTGTGGGTTGTGTGTGGTTGCCCTCTGTTACCGGTAACTGCCAAGTCTGGAAAATGATAAACCTTAACTCTAGTTGAATAGAAGATGGCTCCAGGAGCTTACACGTGGAAGGAGATGTGTCCGATAGGAAACGTCCGAGGCACGCATGTTCTGAGCATGCTTCCTACTGGTAAAACGTTTCATCCACGCATTGCATGCGTAGAAGTTGTACCAGAGGCGTTTACTATACGGGTTGAAAATTCCATGTTACGAAAGGCCGTGGCTGAGATGCTTCGTGCTGTGAATACGAGGGATCCTCCTACGATATTGTCATTCGAACCAAAGCTCGCAACCAATACTCCTTTATTGAAACTGTTGCTGTTCGTATTGGAGAGCACATAATAGAAGTCACTGGCTGGGGTGGTTATGCTGTCAATGGTGTTGAACACGCACATTTGCTGAATGCCACCAATGCCACTTTTGGCAATTCCGTTGGCTTGATGGGATCATATGAGGGTGGTGTTTGGTTTGCTCGTAATGGCAAGACTGTCGTGACTGATCCCAATGCCTTTGGAGTGAATGGCAAGTCTTTGCAAATGAAACCAAGCTATTTCAATCAGACAGATTCCCACAGCACCCACATACCTGCTACTTGCCACAAGCTTCCTCCAGCACGGCTCGTCGCCTTGGAGAGGCCATCATCACAGAAACCCAAGCAACTGAAGGCTTGTGCTCACTGGGATGAAGAGCACAAGGAGATGTGTGTCTATGATGTCTTGGCCATGGAATGGAAGACTTGGAGTTGTCCGAAGCAGGTACTTTCTAGAAGTTGGTTCCCAACGGGATTTTTGCCTACCAAGGCAACTAGCAGAGCCTGGTTGCTTTGTTATGCATTTGTAGTTTTCACATTTTCATTCTGAAACAAACAAAATAAAGTACTATCATCCGTGCTCAAACGTAATAGTTGGATCGAGCTAGCTAGCTAGTAGTATAGGTATCGCAGAAAACTCGCAAACAACATGTAAGTATGGAGCAAGTTGGCGGAAACCTGAAGCTTTTGGACTTCCATTCAGGTCTTTGGAGCTTGGGCAGCACGCATTGCTCAAGCAAACCACATTTTGATTATCTTGGCAGATGATAGGAGTACTAGTACAGTACCGTAATGTTCTCTTCTGGCTGTGCCCCAATGCAACAATTGGTGCCGTGATAAATATCCTGTTACAGCAATAGGTGGCTACTACCAGTAGCTAGTAGTAGCCAGAACGCCACATACTGTAGTACTAGTACCTAGTACCTGGTACAGTGTACCGGTACCGGCGGCTCAGTGCACTACCAGTAGCCAGCTAGCCTGCATGAAAATAGTCAACGACGGGGAGGAAATTCCTTGAAAAAAGATTTAACCTTATCCCTTTCAAACGACGGACCCGCGTGGCTTCTGGTGAAAAGAAGTCAAACACCACACACAAAACAACCATGGCGACAAACGCTTCTTCGAATGCAGCCGCAGCTCCTAACAATTCCGGGGGCGGAGGCAAGAAAGCCGTACATGTGAAGGTGGGTAATTTTTGCTTGGATTCTAGAGGTTGCTGTGATCGTGGGTGTTCTGCTGTTCTGCTGGTGTGATGGCCATCTCCGTCGATGTTGTCTTCGCCAATTTCTCCACCCTTCTTCTTTGCATCAGAGGAGGAATTGCGGAGGAGGGATCTGTGAGAACACACGACTTTTGTCGGGCTTTGGCTTTCATCATCATTCGTCGCGATCCCTGCTCAGCGACACTGTTTCGCTCCATGATCCAACGACGAGACCAAGGAGACGCTCTTCTCCCTGTTCACCATCGTGAACCTTGGTTGAGTCGTACGCCAAATTCGAAAAATAGCGATCAGTTTACCGCCCCGAAGCGCCATGACATCAGATAATGGCGTTCTGGTTGCGTCGGAGCTTCATTTTTGTTGTTGTTGTGGGAATATGGGAGCGGTGGAGTTCAACCGAGCAGTCAACTGAGGCATCGAGAGTGTCATATGACTTCACCACAAACCCCCGGTCATCGTTGCCGCTCTGGTTGAGGACAAAAAACCCGTTCCTCGTAGGCTCCAGTACGCTTTCTACGTGCCGGCAACTCTTTGCTGGCCTTCATAAGGTTGTCCCCTGTGCCTTCCAAAGCTTGTTGGAGATGACTGCGGCAGAAAGTGGAGATTCTCAGAACTTGGCTCCTGCCGGTTGGAAAGATTTAAGGGTAGCCTGCCCGGCGCTGACACGGCTGGCTTGCATTCATTCGTGGTCCGGATCAATCCCACATGCCCATCTTCGTCTCACGTTTATGTTTCTGTCTCCTTTTGCGTTTGACAGTGGGCTGGGAAGACCATTGCCTTGGGCACATTCCCCGCAGCCGAAGCTGACGAGAAATGCGCTCGTGCCAAAGCTCTTACTAGAGCTTGGCGATCTACCATGCGCCCAAAACCAACCCGTGATTGGGTCATGTTAGAACTCGAACGCCTGGGTGTTCGTGTTGTGTCTGGACGATTGGGGAGAAAGGCGGGAGAAGAAGACGATGCTGAAAAGAAGGCAGCAGGTAAGATGTTGATAAGGCTCGCATGTATGATCGAGGTTTTACCGTCTCCCAAGCAAGTGAGTATAATGAATTTCTGATGTTTGTGTAGAGATGGCCCGTGGTGGCCCCCCGATTGACCGAAGTAACAGTATTGGTTGGCCTTCATCCGACGCAGATTTCAACAGCCTAATGCAGCAACGTCGATCTTCTTCGATAGGCCTCTCCATGATTGGAGATGACTTGGAACGTCGTCGATCTCTCGGTTCTCTGGGTCAGGTCGTTCTAGATGGAGGAGACCCCGGAATGCCTCCACACCGCCCACTCGTGGGCGGAGGCGCCGCTGCAGCCTACGAAGCAGCACGTGCAGACCATTACGCTCAAAAGAATGCCGAACAACAGCGACGCGCGTCAAGCCTTGGGCTTGGAATCGGCGGAGGCAACCTAGGAGGAGGAATGCCTCAAATGGGATTCTCGGTGAACCCCAACCAGTGAGACCCCCATAACTGTTTTTTCATGCTTCTTGCTTCGACACGGTCACCTGACTTTGTTCCAACTGCTCTTATTCGTTCGTACGCAGGCACTATGAGTAAGTGACTCAAGCTGCATCCGTGCTACATTAATTCTTGTCACACTCGTGCTGATCGGTTGCGCTCTGTACTACTTTCACAGGATGCTTAAGTTGCATCACATGAATCTTTTGAATGAGATCCAGGAAACAACCTTGATGATGAACCTCTACCAGCAGCAGCAGGTACTTTGCTTGATAACGCGTGCTGTTGATGTTGCCTTCGTGTTCGATAACGTTGATTGTGTTTTCATTTGTCTGAACGTACAGCTCCAACAGCAACAGCAACAACTCCAACAGCAGGCAAGTGCGGAACAAATGGGAGGAGGGGATCCGCAAATGGCGTTATTGCTCCAGCAGCAGCAGAGTGCTGCCGCTGGCGCACCTGGCATGGACCCCATGTTTGGCCAGCAACGTGGTTCTCTAGGGCTGGGGGCTACAGGAAGCCAGAACCAGCAGATGGAACAACTTCTTCGCCAGCAGCAAATCATGCAGCAGGGTGCTGGCGGCGGTGCTGTCGCAGCAGCGGCTGCTTCTTCGTCTGCGCCCGCGTCTCAGGTCGATATTCTGAAGGGACAGCAAGAGCAGGCCGCGCTTGAAGATCGACTTCAGAAATTGAAAGAGGACATCGCGCGCCGTCAGAGGGAAGCAGATGGCCTCGAGGCAAAGGCGAAAGCTCAAGGTACTGATGCCAACGGAGGCGGAGGAGACGAGAAGAGGAAGGCAGAGGACGAGGGTGATGCTCCTTCCAGCAAGAAAGTCAAGACGGAGCCGCCCGGCGATGACGAGGAGAAAGCTGAGGGCGGAAAGGACGCCAGTTGAGAAGCGCATGCGAATTTATCAAATTGGAAATGAAACTGAGCAGATTCAATAACCAAGCGCGAGGAGAAAGGATTTGCGCACTGCGTTCGAGAAGTCTGAATGCAACTTTACTACAAGTAGTTGTAATCCTAGTGTAAATGCAACTGCAAACCGACTTTTCTACTTGCGGCTGATTAATATTCGTGTTGGGAAACATCGCCTCGATCGTTTGCATTGCGTGCATCCATCAAACTAGTCTTCATTTTCGTCACGGCGGCGGAGAGCACCCTTTGGAATTGGAGATCTTCGTGTCCGGTATTGGTACACTCGGTGCTACTACTGGTAGCATCACCTACCGGCCTACCGGTAGCTAGCTAAATTGGCCGGTGTCTGGCTGTATCTGCTTCATGATATGCACTGATATAGTGCCGTACTCGCATCTCTCCTGATGTGATCGATCCCATACTAGTACCAGGTACCGGTACGAGGGTGCCATTCGATTGTGCATTTCGGCTTCGCTCGTGTTTTTGTCTTTTCGGGTTGATGGGAAACAAATTCATAAACCCAGTCTCCCTGTTTCTTAACGTCACAACCTTGAGTTGAAGTGCGGGGAAGCGTATCCTGCACAAAGGCTTCGTTTGCGAGCTGAATTCCTTGTTGACGATCTTCCTGCGGACGCGTGATGCACAATCTATCTCATCTGTTTATCTAATAGAACTGTCACCATGAAGATCGCCGTCCTTGCTTCCCTTCTTGCCACCGCGGCTGCTTTCGCACCCGCCCAACAGCGTGTTGCCCACAGCACAGCTCTTGCAAGCACCTCTGAGGACTACTGGGATCCTTTGGGCCTTTACACTCTCGGAAATGGCGAGGCTTTCGATACATTCCCCAACATGTTCCCAAATGAACAATTCTTGAGTGAGGCTGAGCGAAAGCACGGACGTATGGCAATGCTTGGATGGACTGGAATCTGGGCCACCACTGAGGTAAGTGAAGAAATATTGTCTGCCATGTACAATCAAAAATACAAGTCAGCTTATGTTTCGACTTTCTTTTTTACAGGGTGGCTTGGGTCTTGGTCTTCACTTCCCTGGATTCCCCGTTGAACCCGACTGGACCAAGGCTCTCGGTGTCTTTGCAGCTGAAGAACCAGCCTGGTTCGGTGGCATCCTTGCCTTCATCATGATTGCCGAAGGTGAGGGTGTTGGCCACACAGGTGATAACTTCCGAGGAAAGTCCACCAAGACCCCCGGTGACATGGGCTTTGACTACCTTGGATTGAAGAAGAAGCTTTCAGCCGAGAAGCAAGCGCACTACCTTGAGTCCGAACTCAAAAACGGTCGTGCTGCTATGATCGCGATGGCATCTCTGTTCTCCTTCAAAGCAGTCGAAGGATCAGTTCCTCTCATGGAGCTTATTGGCGCCAACTAAGCTCCTCTTCTGCGCTGCTAACATAGAAGCTCCCTTCTGAAGGCCACGATCGCATTCACCTGCAGAATCAATTGCCGTTCTTGTTCCTGGTAAATATTAGTACATAGAGATATCAGGGGCAGCATACCGGTACATGTAGCGGTCGTAGCTATTGGGTTCTTCGTGCTATCAAGATGCTTAGCTAGAGAATTAGAATGCATGTTCTCTAGCATACACGAACACGCTTCAGGGTACTGTGCTTGCTTGTGGAGGCCGTGCTGTTCATTAGGAGTCTCTGTTTCTCCTTGAGTTCAGGCTTCGAAAGCGCGAGCAAACTCCTCAACTTGGCTTTAAAAATGGCTTCGGGTAATATTTTGGAATGGATATGCTAGTCTAGTCTACTTTCATCTATAAATCGTATGAGTTCATCCATAGATCGCAATGGATATGGAGGCCGTGACTTTCGTGGACCACTTCAACCCTTCCATGATCCCTACCGTACTATCGCGAACGTGGCCTGATTTTGCTGTCGTCGCTCGCACTTTTCCGTGGGCGGGAGTATAGTAACTCTTCAGAAGCCACCACACATCCCGATTGAATCAATCATTCTGGGTTGGCAGCATGATTGGCTCTCATGCCTTCTAGCTAGTAGCCAGGAGGGCGGATTTGGTGCTACCATTCGCAAAACCGACAAAATACCAATTAAATTGTCGCATGATCAGGGTGTGCTGGTACCGGTACTGGTACCCTTCCAGTCCTTTGCGGCTGCTAGCCGAAAAAATTCCAGGTATTCACAGCTTCACGAGCTTCTAGCAGGGTCATGAGCTTCATTGTTTTGCAAATGAGGAAGTGTGCTCCCTGCCACAGGTGCAACGTGGAAGAATTCTGGCGCACTAATTATTTTTTGAATGAGCTTCAACCACTCGCTCGAGGTCAGTCCATCCACAACCACAAACGAAAAACAGTACGAAAGCACGCGGTAGACTCGACTTACTTAGTCGACTGGGCGGTAAATCCATTTCGAGCATTGGGCAACCACAAGCAAGAACCGAAGGGTAAGTCAATACTAGCTAGTAGTGTGGGACAAACCATGGCGGTCGAATCTCTCGGATGGGAATAGTAGAGTCGAGTCCGTGAGACATGGATGGTGGATGTGTGCTGGTGGTTACGATTGATTGTGATTCAAATTTCCTGCCTGGGATTGCACATGCAACCTGTCCTTTCCAGAATTCTCTCCATGTGCATGTACTGAAAGCTTACATTTTCTCTTTATTTTCTCGGGCAGAAAACACATTCGTACCTTTTCCTTTTTGGCCAAAGTCAGCGTCTGAGCAGTGTGGTGATACCGAAGTACCCTCAACTTTACTACAACCAACAGTTTGACGAAAAAACAGTCGAGTTCCGCTCTTCTTCAGCATCCATTTCAACAAGCGTGTTTTTGCCAAGACAATGTCTGCTCCTGCTACCGGTCCTTCTGACAACCCTGCCATGGAGCCGGGTCCCGAGGCGATGCCTGCTGGTGCCCCTTCCATGGGCTCTGGCCCCTCTGATGGTGCTGGTCCTGGGCAGCAGCCCTTTCATTCCGCCTCGCTCTACGTGGGGGATCTTGCTCCGGATGTTAACGAGGGCCTTCTCTTTGAGATTTTCAATGCGGTCGGGCCTGTGGCTTCTATCCGTGTCTGCCGTGATGCCGTCACTCGCCGTTCCTTGGGATATGCTTATGTGAATTTCCATCAGCTCAGCGATGCCGAACGCGCTTTGGACACCATGAACTTCACCATGATCAAGAGTAAGCCATGCCGCATCATGTGGAGTCAGCGTGATCCCTCCCTCCGTCGTTCCGGTGTTGGAAACATTTTTGTCAAGAATTTACATGAGTCGATCGACAACAAGCAACTCTATGATACCTTCAGTCTCTTTGGAAATATTCTTTCCTGCAAAGTTGTTACCGACAGAGAGTCAGGTTCTTCCAAAGGGTACGGTTATGTTCACTATGAGACTGCTGAGGCTGCAACTGCTGCCATTGAAAAGTTGGATGGTATGCTTATTGATGGACAGGAAGTCCAGGTGGGACACTTCATGCGGCGCAATGAACGACCTGGACAGAATGATTGGACCAACTGTTATGTCAAGAAAATTCCATACGAATGGGATGATGCCAGGTTGAAGGAAGAATTCGCCCAGTTTGGAGAGGTTATGAGTGCCTCAATTGCTCGTGGAGTCCGAAAACCTCACAAGAAGCCCACCAAAAATGGTGATGGCGAAAAGAAGGAAGAAGACGAACCGAAGGATGATGCCGAGGAACAGGACAAGGCTTGGGAGGCGATGGAGAAAACGGAAAACAAGGAAGGAGACTCAAAGGACCAATCTCTTGGTTTCGGTTTTGTGAATTTCCTTGAGCACGAGGCGGCTGTTGCAGCTGTGGAGGCTCTTAATGGTAAGGAATATGACACGAATCTTGACGGAGAAGACATCAAGCAGGAGCTCTACGTTGGACGTGCTCAGAAGAAAGCGGAACGTGAGCGTGAACTACGTGCCAAATTTGAGGCCGAAAAGATGGATAGGATCTCCAAGTTTCAAGGAGTCAATCTTTACATCAAGAACTTGGACGACGGCGTCACCGACGATATGCTTCGTGACGAATTCTCGTCCATGGGAACAATTACCTCGGCTCGTGTCATGAAAGATATGAAGGATGGTCGCTCCCGTGGATTTGGGTTTGTCTGCTTCTCGTCCCCAGAAGAAGCTACCCGCGCTGTCAATGAAATGAACGGCAAAATCGTCGCCAACAAGCCAATCTTTGTTGCTTTGGCGCAGCGTCGTGAAGTGCGTCGTGCTCAGCTAGAAGCTCAGCACGCCAATCGTGCTGGCGGTCCTGGGCAGGGAGGAATGATGCGCAATCCCATGGGGGGCCCGATGGGATATCCTGGTCCTGGCATGCCCATGTACATGCAGAGACCGGGGCCTGGAAGTATGCAACCTGCCTACCCCATGATGCCCCAGATGATGGGTGGCCCTGGAGGTCGAGGACAACAGCCTCGTGGTGTTTACCCAATGATGGGACAACAAGGTCGAGGCGGATATCCCATGCCTTACGGTGTGATGGCCCAGAATCAAGGACGAGGCGGACGTGGAATGCAGCCAGGACGTGGTGGCAGAGGTGGACGTGGTCCAGGTGGTCCCATGCAACAGGGCAGAGGACCACAAGGCGGCCAACCCATCAAGTTCAACCAACAAGCTCGAAATGCTGGGCCTCAACAGGGCGCCATGCCCCAAGGTGGGATGCAGCAGGGCCCCCCACAACCGCCGCCCCAGCAACCGCCAATGCCACACGAGGGTGCATTGACAGCATCAGCGCTAGCTTCTGCAACACCTGAAATGCAAAAGAATATGATTGGCGAACGTTTGTATCCACTTATTCACCAATCGCAACCTGAGTTGGCAGGCAAGATCACTGGAATGCTTCTCGAGATGGACAATTCCGAGCTACTTCATTTATTGGAGAGTCCAGAGGCTCTCAATGCGAAGATTTCGGAGGCACTGCAAGTGCTAGAAGCTCACCAAGCCGAGAACAGGAACCCAGCGTCGTAAGAGAGAAGGCGCGATTGTTTTTTGTGCTTGGGGATTTACGCAGTACGCAGTAGGTAGCACAATGTATACTAGTTTCTCTCCAAAAAAGCCATTTTGTTTCACCTGTACGGTAGTAGTACGTAGTACCTTGGCTGTCAGTGTGCTATCAGCCAATCAGTATACATCTGTAGTTATTAGCAGAGGCTGTGCCATCTACGATGAACATGTACTTGTATGTATGCATGGCTTTTGCCTCCAGCAAACCCGGTACATCTAGCATACTAAGCACCGCGTCCTTTGGAGAACTTGCACTACATTCGTAATACTGGTACCGGTACGGTAGCTAGTACCATAGCCGGCCCTATTGAATCCTTGACCTACTAGCTACCGGTACCGGTAGATAGTAGCCAAAGCTTCCTACTTTTTAGACCTGGTCAAGCAACCAACCCAAAGGTGTGCGTGCCCATCTCAGTCTCATCATTGCAAGGCAGATGCAGCAAATAGAGGCACAATGTGACCGTCTGTGTGACAATAAATATATCGGCCCACGCTGCCCTGCATGCGCGCTATTAATACTTTTAATTAAGCAACGGAAAACATAAAAGGGACGCCAATTTGTGAGAGCAAGATTTGTGGCACTGCAAAAAGATTCACAGCAATTATAACACACAATGATGCTTGCCATGCCGCTCACAAAGGCCTTCGTGTCAACGAAGAAGTTGTTGGGTGTCCTTGTATTCATATCTGTCTGTTTGGCCTTTCAAGGGCTTGCAGTTGTGCTGTTCAATAGTCGGGTTCACCAAAATGAAGACCATGTCTTGAACCGACCGGTGCGGATTCCAGACAACTTTCATGTTGAAAAGGCCAAGAGTCTTTCTTATGTGATGCAGCTGAAAAGTACACGGCGAACCCTCAAGTTTTTCCACATTCCCAAAGCAGCAGGAACAGCCATTGAGCACGTGGGTGGAGCACAAATGAATCTACCCTGGGGGAGCTGTCTCTTCAAGCATTATCCCAAGCGAACCATCTGCACATACCCACCAAGCAATTTCGAGTGGCCTCGCAATTATGGATGGTGGCACTTACCTGCACAATTGTTTCCAATGGGAGGATCCAATCCGTATGAAGGGGCCGAGTTGTTTGCAATAATAAGAGATCCTTTCGATAGACTGGTCAGCGAGGTACGGTACCGTCATTTTCGTCTTTTATGATTTCTGTTTTGCGATAAACTCATTTGCGTGCCTCTTCCGTTACTTGTACACAGTTCTATTACATTTGTCAACTAAGAGTGTTTGAATGGCGACCAGATCAGTGCAACAGAAATAGACTTTTTGAGAAAGATTACATGAATGAATGGCTTCAAAACAAGCTGTCACACAAGGACTTCGACAAAGCAAAGACGTATCTGCAGGACAATGGCCACTTCACTCCTCAATACAACTTTTTGGTGACAAAGAATCAAGTTCGCATGGTAGACTATGTAATGAGCATGGATGAACTACCAACACAGTTCGCGGGCTTGATGGATGCTTATTCATTGAGGATTAAAATGGCAAAGAAGAAGATTAACGCAGCCAGAAACTCAACAACGCACTTGGAACCGAAAGATTTGGATTCTGTTACCGTCAAATCAATCCAGAAAGTCTTCCGGCATGACTTTGATTTGAGCCCTCTCTTTGAGAGGAATCCATGGAAAAAGACGGCTTGATGATGCAGTTGTTGCTAGGAAGACCAAATTTCTAGCCATCCCAATCAACACTCTGCTTGTACAGAGGATCACGCATGGCAGTGGCACTCCCAATGAACAACGCAGTTTCATTGAAGTAATGGTCGGCATACTACTGGTACCGTATACGCATACTCAAAACTCTTATTCCGTGTTGTTCCAACTAGGCCAACTGAAACATTTTGTGATAATTTTTAAACATTCTGTTCTCTTCCAGCAGGCGCCGCACGGTCTTTTCGCACAGAACTTGCTTTTTCAGCCGTCTATAGTAGTTATCTAGGATACTAGTAGTCTAGTTTAGACAGAGAATTGCACATTGATTCCCAGGTCAGTGCTTTTGATTGAAGCTTGGTTATATAGCTAGGCAGGAACTCGTCTTTAGAGCTGTCTTCGTTTGGAAGATCAAGAGGATTGAAGTATATATTTCCAGATCAATCCTAGTTAGTAGCGTCAAACATACCACAGTGCTTTCGTGTTGTTGCCAACATTATCAATGATTATTGTATCGAAATCTGGTACACTTGGGAGAGATCATCGTTTGTGACACCAAAAAGTGTTCTGAATTGCAAGAAATGGTTTTGTGGGTTGTTGGCAAGGAAAGTATGGATACCGGTACATGAGGCAAAGATGTTGCTCCATTGGAAGCTTACCTGAACACATCGTAAAGCAAAAATTGACCAGCAATGATACTCCCAGCCCACAAGCAGCGGCTGGACAAACCACGAAACAGTGACCCAACTCCATCTTCCCTGATCATTACCCGACAGCCATCAATCAGCCCCATACTTGAAGTACCACGATTGTTCTGGGCGACAAACGTCAATAACGAGTCAGCTGGTTGTGAAACAATCGATGACACAGCCCCTGACAACCCTCCAGCAACTAGGCTGACTGTCAGAGCAGTCCATGTCGCGTCCCTCAGACCGGGTGCTGCGGCAAAAATGGCTTCGGACGTTCGTTCAAAAGCCAAGAATTTGATGGACCCAAAGATTACTTGCCGGGATAACAGAGAAGGAAACCCCGCGTACAAAGCTTGCCAACCAAGGTCTTTGTCCTCTGCTGCAATGGCATCGAGTGTCCCCGACAACCCTAAAGGTCTGTACGTGTCTGGATCGGCAACCACACGAATCCTTGCTGCTTCGAGCTAGGAAGCGGAAGAACCAAGTATGCGTAAGGGGCATGAGCTGCTATGATCAGTTGGCGTAGTGGCTGGCATTTCTCACAACTCCTTGACTTACCGGTGTCAAACCAATACTGGCGATGACGGCCGCAAAGGCACCTGCAACCAACGAAATATCGTTTGCATGAATCGCAGAGACTTCGGGTGCCAGGACGGTCTGAGTGAAGAGTCGCTTGAAAAATGTGTAGCTTGGGTAAACACTTAAGCCATACCAAAAGTACCCAGCCAATGTTGCTTGGGCTCCAAGTAAAAGGCCCTGAATACCCTCTTCCTGGACAATCTTTTGAGATCCTGCGAGTAGGTCGGAAAACTCATCGGGATTGGTCTGAGCTCGTGTTTTTACAACGTCGAGTGGGATGACCACGGAATGTGTAAGCGCGCAGCCTGTAGCCCCACTAATGCCAAACAAGCCGTAAATGGAGGGACTGAAACTGGGCCTTTCGCGTATCAGCGGTGTGGACGCTAGGGGACCAAAAGGGGTCCCTGTAGCCGTCTGGCCAGTCTCACCAGACTCGCCGATAGCATAAACTCGCAGCGGTGGCTGAATGGAGAGAGAATCATCGATAGCTTTTACGACTCGGTATTCAGCGGGTAAGAGTGCACTGTAATCTCGCGACATCATGTCATTAGCAATATTGTTGTCTGCGGATGCATCGGTTGTTTGTTGTGTAATTGCAAATTGACCCACTTTGTCGGGTATATCTTTGGAAGGTAGCATTGAAAACAGCAATCCAATTTGTCGCTTGGCTTCTTGGTCTCTTCCGTAGGTGCTGAGGAACATTCCCAATAGCTCTGCGAATGCTTCGCTGGGATTATTTTGGAACTTTGGTTGTCGTATGAAACTATCCAGCGCAATCTGGATCGATCTTGCCATTGAGCCAAAGGACTTTCCCAACTTTGACTGTCGTTTTTCATCTCCAAGAAGAGAATATGTAATTTCTTCCTGCCTCCACCATGAAGCAATTGCTTCGTCATAATTGACAAGAAAGCGAGCCGCGTAGGTAGCAAAGTATGCAGGGACAAGAAAATCATCCAAGGCGGAAACAGAGAGATCTTTGCTCTCCTTCAGTTGCTTCCACATTCCATCACCAAGAGCGAAATCATCCAGTGGCAAAGATGCTGTAGGTTCAGAATTGCTTATTGCTGTGGCTCCAAGCGAAGGAAGGATAGCAGCCGCCGCTGCTGCCATGGCTACTGCCGATCTTCTCCCAATTAGAAAGCTGCGTGTCGATGGCGCCATTTTTTCAATCTCAAAGGAATTTTCATCCATCGAAGGGGCCGAATTCATTGATGTCATGCCGTCTTTTTCTGCTTGAAGAACACCTCTTACTCGTCTCTGGACAAAACGGTCCTCTCTACCGGTATGAGGAAAAACTTGTAGCCCTGCAACGGGATGCACGGATGGAGAAGAGACTAGGCAGATCGATGCATAGAAAAGGGTAGAACATTTTTTCATCTTGACAGATAGTTGTAATTGGTTTCATTTGTTCTACAGTTGGGTTTGTTGCGCCGATCGGAAATGCCAGACAAGATGCCAAGGTACGAGCCAGACACAAAGGGTCAAATGCCGATGGGGGTGTTGTTGGGTGTTGGGTGAACCCATCCTTGAAATAGCAGGAAAAAGATATTATTTGATAGTAGCTGTCCTCTTTGCTAGCTAGTCAATCAGGGCGACCCAGAAATGGGACTAACCAGTAGTAAACTGTTTATGTTGTGAGTCATTGTTTACGCATGACTTAGTTTACTCATGAGTAAACTGTTAAATAGTTGTTTACTCATGAGTAAACAATCGAATCCTTGTTTACTCATGAGTAAACAAGCATTTATTGTTTCCTCATGAGTAAACAAGGTTTTTACAGTTTCCCCATGAGTAAACAACGATCTCGTGGGTAAACAGTGTGTTTTTACTAGTGAGATTTAACGGCTCGTGGGGAAACTATGACCTCATGCGTAAACAGCTTGTTTCCCCATGAGTCGTGAGTAAACAACTGTTTACCCATGACTCGTGAGTAAACAAGCTGTTTACCCATGACTCGTGGGTAAACAGCTGTTTACCCATGACTCGTGGGCAAACTACTTATGTGGTACGGAAACAAATGACTTAGTAACTGCCACCGTAAAACCGTTACACACCTCATTCGTGCCTTTTTCTGGGTCGCCCAGATTAAGATGGTGCGCGTTACGAGATTAAAGTGGGTTTTGATTGGGACCGTGCTTTATTAGTTTGTCCCAAATAGTGAAGTTTCGACCTTTTCTTCGAGTTTCGATTTCGACTTTCGACTTTTAAAGTCGAAACTTTCCAAAGATGAAACTCGAAAGTCGAAAATCGAAACATGAAATTTCGACTTTTTTCCACTTTGCTGCCAAAAGTCGAAACATGAAATTTCGAGTTTCGACTTTCTTTTATGGTTGGTATATTTAAGGAGGACATTCAACCAAAAGTGGACAGAAAGTCGAAACGGAAACATTAAACTCAAAAAAGTTTATTTGGGACACATGGGAAAAAGCAATAATTTCGACCATGAAACAAGTCAAAACTCGAAATCGAAACTCGAAATCGAAACTGGAAACTTTACTATTTGGGACACTGTATTGAGTGTTTTAAATCAACTCCCACCACTATTATCCCACTTTGTACTGTATTGATTGTCCCAAATAACTTATTTACTTAACGAACAACGTGGTGTCGAGGATAGGCACCAGTGCTATTTGTAGTACGTTTTCTTAATCTTTTATTAAATTAGCTCACAATTTGTGCACCTGGACAATTTGCTAGCAAAATAGAAACAGGTGTGGTGGCACCAACCACCATGGCCAGCTGCTGCTGGGCAGCATGGCAACAGGAGTAGAGTAGAGTACTCCCATGGATGGGAGACTGCAATGCAACAACAAAAAGAGTCAGGAAAAGCACCATTTTCAGCCAAAAAGTGAGGCACTCCATCTTCCACGGCACTCACTCCTTCCAACGTACAGTACTGCTACAGTACTTCCAGCCGTACCGCTCCTACAGGTACAAAAGTACAGTACGCGTTCTTCCAACCTCATTGTCAAAATAACACCATAAGCAAAAGCGCTCCTCCAACACACACCTCCATGGTCAAAAAGGCAACAGCGCAGAAACACCATAACAACAACGCGGAAAGC